GCACCATGCGTTCCTACTAACCCGGCGCCCTAGCCATGTCTCCCGAGGTGATCGCGCCATCCTACGATCGAAGAACATGCAGGGCACACGCACTCCCAAGAAAACGGAAAAAAGAAACAAACTCCCGCATGAACACAGCATGCGTCTGAGCTATACATGCGCCATGATCCAACAAACTCGGAATCAAGCGCTTAGTGGATAACTAGAGCAGCAAATAGCCGATGGCGCCATGGATTACTTCGACAACTACTAGATAAACAATTTTTATAAACTGATATGTCCATTTCACCAAACATATGAGTCAAATTTTTGCCCTCAAACATCGGCCCGTGAAAATCCATCTTTCCAGACGGACCGACCGTCTACCTGCGAAAACCTCGTGTGAAAATCGATGATTTTCGTAAATCTCTACTTGTAGACGACGCTTGTGTCCACCTGCACAGAGCAATTTTGGCCATCTGCGAAAATCCTTTTTATCTTTCTCCAGCGCTCTACCGCATCAAACCGGCCTACTCCACCTCCTATAGCTACCGCGTGGAGGCACGAACGCACGCATGCATGCGACGGCGACGCCTCGCCGACGAGGACGAACCATAGCCGGAGAGGCGTGGATGATCAGTACGAACCAGTACGTCTCAAAATTTGCCTCTCCATCGATCAAAACGTACGTTGCACTTTCTATGGAGGCATGGGCGGATCCAGCAATAAAAAGTTGAGAGACTAAACATATCGAGTACACCGGTATAAACACATAATATCAGTATTAAACTATACTAAAATGCTATTAACACCCCCTATTTTATCAACCTTGGTAAAAAAAATTGAAGGGGGGCTCAGGGGGTATCCATGGGTTCGGTGGGTGTAGGGGGGACTTGGGTCCCCCCTGCACCCACGTTGGATCCGCCCCTGTATGGAGGAGTACCTGCCTAGCTAGCCGTCCTAGCTATGGTCGATCCATTGGTCGTCGTCGTCCTCTCTTTCACTCTGTTTGCTTGATTCTCTATAGCTGTTGCAGAAAGCGGTAGAAACTAAGGCTGTGTTCGTTGGAGAGGGTTGGGAACCCATATCCTGTGCACAGAAAACTGAGCGGTGCATTAACACGTGATTAATTAAGTATAAACTTTTTTTTAAAAAAAATGGATCAATATGAAACTTTTTTTAAAAAACACACCGCTTAGCAGTTTGAAAAGCATGCGCGCGAAAAACGAGAGGAGGGAGTTGAGAACTAGGGTAAGCGAATGCAGCAGTAGCTTTTCAAGAGCTACGTCCTCCTCTCTCCGTGTCCTCCTCTCTCCATCTCACAGAAAATACATTTGACTGTTTATTTTATTTTAAAATTTTATAAAAAAAAGATTAGTCGCACATTAAGTAATATTTATGTTTTATAATTTAATAACAATAGAAATAATAATCTTAAAAGATTTAAAAAATACGAAGAGTCAAAGGTTAAAATGAAAAACCAAAAATATACACTTTTTACGGTACGCGGATTGGAAAGGCAGGCAGGCAGCGTGGTCGGCAGCATGCAGCTGCTGCTACTCCGGCCGGCCGGCCGACCGGGTCACCGGCCGACATAGGATATATATCATTGTCAAATCTTTTAATTACTCCTTGATTGGCTAGAGAAAAATATATACGTGGAAGAACACAGGAATTTCTTTTTGGAATATAAGCAAAGTGCTCGTCGTCTGTCTCAAATTAATTGGTGTATGTAACAGTCATTACGATATTATAGTCATAGGCCTCAAGTTTAAATATGGAATGCCAAATAACCACATACTATGAAATGAAAAAAAATTGCAGCTCACTTTCATGTTAAGGCCCAAGAGGAAGCCTCATGCTAGGACTATGCATTTCCTGATTAGTAATTAATTAAGTTTTTAGGTTTTACTTAATGGTGAAGATAACTCAATAAATTTTTTTTAGATAAGTCAAATTCAAGATTATAAGCTAAAACAAAATCAAGGAATTATAGAAGAGTGTTGAGTAAAGAGTAATGGAGAAGAGATAGATTTGCTAAAAAGATATATATGGGCATTCGCAACCTGTGGGTTTTTATAATGTCCCTAAGTTTCTATTGGATTTGGACTTAAATTAATCTGCATATATAATAGGACTGTTTTGTCATCACCAAGCTGGTAATTGGATATGATACTGTAATACCCATTTGAACACATCATTCATTATTATTAGTACCATAAACTTTTTCATAATACACAAAGAATGGAATTGCCGACGTACGGCTTAAGTACATACTTGTAAAATTGGTTAGTAGAGGATATCAATTTTAATTCATGGTATGAGAAATGAAATTATTTGTGAGCTGTTAATACCTCTGATTGTAACCAAGGATTTCTGGCTGAGTTCTTTGCTTGAGGTTCCCAACTCACATCTTTGTATTCCATGCACACGCTTCCCAAATTATTAAACGGCAGGTGTGTTTTTTTTTAAAAAAAATTCTATATGAAAGTTGCTTTAAAAAATATGTTAATCCATTTCTTTAAAAAAGTTAGCCAGTACCTAATGAATTATATGCTAATGAGTTGTTCTGTTTTACGTGCGTGAGGGATTAGTTCCCAACTTCAACATCCGAACACAGTCTATAAGGTAGAGAGAGAGGAGAGGGGGACCAACTTAAAAACTATGAGAAATTTTGGAAGCCAAATGATCTGAAAAATAACTCAATGGTAGGGAATGGAGGAGGGAAATGGTCCCAAATGGAGAGCATGGCAGTGCCAGCTGTCGGACCCTAGTGACATGCACAAGAAAATTGGTGCGCCTATTGGCGCACCGCGCACCTCGCACCTACTATTTGGATATGTAGTATGATGCATTTTAACAATGTTTTAATTCTCATTTTTCGGTATTCAATAGTAGTTGTGGTATATTTCCCTTGCTCTTTTTTTTAAGTTAATCTTCTTTTACTTTTGACTGAGAAATATAATATACTCCTAAAAAAAGTGGCGAGCATGCTAGTTAGCCTCTGTGCATTTGAACGATATTTTAATTCCCGATTTTGGTGCTATATGTCATGCTTATAGTTTTTCAATAATAAAAATAAAGTCACAACAAATAACACATAATTTTTTACAATACATGTGTGGTTAGATATTATGTCAAAATTTAACGGCGTCGTCTATTTAGAAAATAGAGGGTGTGATATTTATGCGAAGATTTATAGGATTATAGATTAAATAATTTTGGTTGCATGTTCGATAATACGAGCTTATAAAGAACAGGTTTGACAAGCCTGTGTTAAACCATGCATGTAAAACGTTCAGTAGGCTCATAAATCAAAAATTACGTTTTAACCATATATATATTTTTAAAGCACATATAGAGTCACGATTATGATTATTTATTGAAAATATTAAATTTCAAATCAAGTAAATAAATGCCACATCTATCCCTACCTCACTTTGGGCTTTTGACCCACTTCGTTTTTTCCCATGCCAGCAAAGCTCAAAGAGCTCATCTAGAAATCACCGATGTGAAAATGTCAAAATAATAATAATAATAATAATAATAATAATCTTATCCTCGATCCCCTTTGTACGAGTCGTCGGTGCAATGGATTTTCACCACCATCATTGATTTCCAATCGGACGGCTACGGAAGCCAATCATGCTCGCTGCACCACCATCATTGATTATAATCGGACGGCTACGGAAGGGCTGCAAATACGTGGCTGCTTCTCGATCCTAGAATCCAAACTTAGTTCTAATTGTGGTGCCACGTGGCCCAATAAAAAGGTAGGGCTGTAACCCTGAAATGGTATATAAGATAAGGAGCTATGAATGTCACTACTGCACACATGAAAACATGATTATTTTGGGTTAGTTTAGTTTGTTTCCCTAATGGAAACTTGATAAAATATATTATGCCTAAATTTTGGTGATGTATCGAATCCAATACTTCATTAATTCTATTATATACTAAAAGTATTTTAAACTTCCTATGAACGATCCTACGTTAACACGTAGCACCTAAAAGCGTTCTTAAACTGTCACGTGGCACTCTAATAAATTAGAAAAAATATGAGAAAAAAGAAAATATCTCACTTTTGATTTTTCACTAAATAGGTGTATCCATTATTTGGAGCCATTAGATTTAAGTTTCAAGAAATCTCTAATCCATCCCCTCCTCTCATAATGGACACGTGCCTGCCTCTGGTTCTCCGCACGCAACTATTGCCCTATCTTCCCTTATTTTTTTCTCTAAGATAGTTAAGGTACACACCATAATCCTTTCAAGCAACATAATTAAAAATACACCTTATTTTACACCCGCTATAACACACTATTAGATATCTAAGCAACTTAATTTCTCTCTAATGCATACATTGTAGAATTGATCTTGATAATTTTATAAATAAACATTTTTTAAAGGATTACCAATATCGGTTGTCAAATAATATTTTAGGTAATTAAAAGTCACCTATAATTAAAAATTTAGACAGATGCCTACACATCTGAACTAGAGGGGAAGGGTAGCTTGATGATACACATAATACATTTATTAATAAATTCTTATAAGATTTCATAAGACGAAAAGGTCTATAAGCCCGTTTTCAGAAACATCTGACTTAATTACAAATTTGAAATTAATTTGCTAGGTATGTTTAATTTTAGAACAAACAAATACACATTCCCGTGCGTTCGCGCGGGTTACATTACTAGTTTTTTTTTTAAAAAAAGAAGATAGAGCTGTAGAAAGAGAGGTTGGGAAAGTTGAGAAGAACACAACCTGAGAAGAGATAGAGCTGTAACACAACCTGAGTATCAAACAGACCCTATAAGCTTCCAAACTGGATGCTCCATGGCCTGAACTCTCGAAACCGTCCAGTACACTTTTTACATCCCTAAACCGGACTGGTTTCTCTTACGTGGCTCCCTTTACATTACAGCGTAATCAAGCGTCATTATACTATCTGTCCCAAGCTGCAACTGCAAGCTAGCACAAAGATGAGGCAGACAGAGAGGAGCTCCAGTGCCGTACACGATCTGAGTTGAGGAGCCCTAGCTAGCTCATGCTTAGCTTAGCCGTCTCTCACTCTCTCTTTCTCTCTCGACCACCACTACCACTAGTACCCGACAACCGGTGCGAATGCGAAAAGGCCACACTTGGGGAAGAAAGAAAAAAGCTATCCATTCCATGTTGCGCAGTGCGCAGGTCGACTCGACACACCCATCAGTTTAAAACCCCCCCTTCTTCCCTTTGACTGATGAAAAGCTAGAACAGCTGCTGCTGCGAGTTGTAGTAGTAGTAGAAGAAGAAAAAGCAAGAAAAGGTTGTTGCATAGATCGATCCATCGATGCGCACGATCGAGTTTATTAATTAGCTCAACGAAAGAAGAAGCATCAGCAAGAAGAGCCAAGAACTCGATCGATCCAAGAAGGTAATTGATCAGCTGATTGGTTGGTTTGGTTGTTGTGGTGGAGATGTGGGAAGCTGTAGGCGGCGGCGACGGCACGGCTCTCCTGCCGTGGCCCGGCTCGGCCGCGGCCGCGCCGCTCTACATGCCCCCGGCAGCAGCGGCAGCGGCGCCCTTCGCCGCCGGCGAGCAGCTGCCGGTGGAGCAGCCCTTCTACTTCGACGGAGGCGGAGGCGTGGCGGGGCATAATCACCATCCTCATCATCATCAGTACGGGATGGAGGCGCCGCCGCCGATGACGATGATGCAGATGGGCGGCGGGGGTTCGTCGTCGTCGAGGATGGTGGTGTCCGGGCTGCTCGGGACGCTGCAGGCGGAGCTCGGGAGGATGACGGCGAAGGAGATCATGGACGCCAAGGCGCTGGCGGCGTCGCGCAGCCACAGCGAGGCCGAGCGCCGCCGCCGCCAGCGCATCAACGGCCACCTCGCCAGGCTCCGCAGCCTCCTCCCCAACACCACCAAGGTCAGGCGATCTCCTCCATGAATACATGATTATTTCTCACATATTACTACATGTGCAGCTTCTCACAATCTCACAGTGCACTAATCGAATTAATTAATTAACTAACCAAACCTTCCTTCTTCCCCTATGGATGATGATCATCAGTTCGACATGCTCATGTCCAAACCCTAACCAAACTGGGATGCATGGTTTTGATGCACAATCGATTCAGATTATCAGAAGATCTAGATATATATACTACTGATTATAACCAAGTCAAAAATATACAATCGATGATCGAAGTAATTAAACAGACCAATTAAAAACTTAATTGAGAAGTGGTACGAGCAAAGGAGAAGTCAGATCTAGTAGCTTAGTAGCTGCCTATTAGCTTAGGTAGCTTCTTGGGGAGGCAACTCTACATGTACTTACTTAGGTCTTGCAACAAAACTAACCCACATAGCATGATTACATGCTTGAATCAAAGGAACCATGCATGTTCTTTCCTATCTTAATTTGCCTTTTGATCCATCTCATGTACTGTGTTCAATTATTTTCCCCAAGGCAATTATATTGTCACACCATATATGATGACCCTCTCACAAACACAAAACTTAAGCTACCTATTCACTCTCTCTTTTCAAAGGAACTCAATATTGATCATCATACATAAAACAACCTTGTTTTCATGGTACATAATTTTGTAAAATCCATGCGTTTTAGATCAAAGATTAATCATCATAAAAAACACAACAATTTTAATTGTAAATAATCGTGTAAAGTTAGATCAAAGATTAATCATTGTACAGAAAACACGACAATTTCAATTATATTATATTTAGTTCCGTAAAATTCATGCGTTCCAATCAAACAATGTCCATATTTTCATAATGGTAAGTAACCTAAGCCAAAACCTAAGGGGGGCAAGAGACAAGGTGTGGTGGGCATAGGAGTACCAAAGCCAAAAGCTAAGCTCCAATGTAGAGATCACCCAGTAGTATAGATATAGAGCATTTGCATGCTGATACACTGACATGGACAAGAAGAAAAAATAAAGGAAGGAATTTGTGCAGAGATCAGTTTGGCGCATGCAGATGCAGCAGAGAAGCCTTTGGATTCGTCGGGGAGAGTGCTCTCGCTCTCGCCGCGCGCGGCGCGGCGCGACAAGCGCGCACGCCCGTGCCAGAGCGCGCTCCCCAAAAGGCGATCCAGAGCGCCGCGCCGTGCGCGCGCGCATGCAAAGGCTGCGCCACGCCACGCCACGCCACGCCGCGCCACGGCCCCCGCGATTTTTGTAGCTTTTCCTCCATCCTCGCATGCACCTCCTCCACTACTACTACTCAGCTTCCCCGTCTCTTCTCCCTCCTCTCCTTCCTACCTAGCTACCTCCACTACACTTAGCTAGTGCCAGCCACTGCACGCTGTGTTCTGCAGCATGCGCCCAAAGCTTGAGACCTCTCTAATGATGGCGCGAGCTGAGCTGACGGATCGAGCACTGATTGGTGTTTGTGTGTTTTGTGGTGTTTGCAGACGGACAAGGCGTCGCTGCTGGCGGAGGTGATCGAGCACGTCAAGGAGCTGAAGCGGCAGACGTCGGCGATGATGGAGGACGGCGCCGCGGGAGGGGAGGCGGCGGCGGCGCCGGTGGTGCTGCTGCCGACGGAGGACGACGAGCTGGAGGTGGACGCGGCGGCGGACGAGGGAGGGAGGCTCGTGGCGAGGGCCTCGCTGTGCTGCGAGGACCGCGCCGACCTCATCCCGGGCATCGCCCGCGCGCTCGCCGCGCTCCGGCTGCGCGCCCGCCGCGCCGAGATCGCCACGCTCGGCGGCCGCGTCCGCAGCGTCCTCCTCATCGCCGCCGTCGAGGAGGAAGATCCAGACGAGGCCGGGAACGACGACGACGGCGAACACGGCTACGGCGTTGCCGCCTCGCACCGGAGGCACGAGCTCGTCGCGTCGATCCACGAGGCGCTGCGCGGCGTCATGAACCGCAAAGCGGCGAGCAGCGACACCTCCTCTTCCGGCGCCGGCGGCGGCGGTGGGAGCATCAAGAGGCAGCGGATGATCAGTGCACATGATCAGCAAGGTTCCTTCAATTCTAGTGGCTGGTAAAAACTCAAGTCGATCATCGATCCATCCATTAATTCCTGCAGCCTCATCAGAAGTAGCATGAAATATCCATGCTCTTGCTTATGCAACTCAACTTATATTAGTATAGTTATAAAGCTATATATAGCCGACTTAAAAAAAACTTAGAGTTTGGATCTTCTTTTTGGTGTTATGGTGTGTGCATGAGGGAAATCAAAATTAAAGGAAGGAGAAAATTTGAAACATGGGATTTCCAAGGTAGAGGGAGAGTTTTATGTATCCCTTATATATATATATATATATATATATATATATATATATATATATATATATATATATATATATATATATATATATATATATATATGTTTTTATTTGTTTGGATGTTACTTAATTTTGTTGCATATGTGTTGGGTGCTTTGAGAGGTTTTTACTAGTACTAAACCTTTCAGTGCACAATGGGGTGATAGATATATGTATGGGTGTACACATGTATAATCGATCTCGGCCGGGATACAATGGAAGTGGAATTGGAGGGGCTAGTTTAAATTCTTCATGTGTTTTATCTGTGTCTAGCTTAAAAAGTATCTTATGAATTAATCGTGCTCATGAGAAAGAGAAATACATTGTGTTGTTGTTTAACTCTGGTGACATTTATGTACTACTCTGATGCTGAGATCATGAGTATTATTTTGGGATGTCAGAGCCATTCTCCCCATTGTGATAATCGTAATGCATGCATGTGGAGGATTTATGGAGCACATTCTACAATCTACAGCTTCCATAGGTTCCCAAAGATAGTAGCTTTACTAGCTCTACAACTGATGAGGTGGTACTTGCATATTTTATCACATATGATATTATATATTAATTAATATTCTCTAGCTAGCTCCTCCACCTTTGGTGGCCTGGTGCACAGTGGCAAATCAGCCAGTTCCTAGGCTAGCTAGTTTGGCATGCAATCGCTCCGACAAGGCTCTCTAGCTTATTGGACATCAATCTGCATAGCCATTGGTCAAACACTCTTCTCCTTAGTCGTTGGCATGGATGCCATTTTGCCTAGTGAACTCAATGTACGATTCGTTCCTTGCACGTTCTTCTCGACGAAAATATGATTATTTCAGTGTCTTAAATACGGGATACACTATACAAGAGTACTTGTGTAGCCAACAACAGCTTAGCCGTCGACCACCTGTTCGAGCTTTACGCTGCTATACTATCATACTAGATTAGGTTCTCCTCTCTATTGCACTTGTGAGAGATTGTGATATATAATAGCAATACGACCGGCTTCAGCCAACAAGAGTAAAGCTGTTACCCATTAGTAGAGAGCTCGAATCTATATAATAATCCTTGTCTTCCATCTCTTTACTACAATCTCATGTATACCTATAGTCTTAGGGGTTGTTTGGTTGATGCCTAAGCTTGCCATAACTAAGCTTAGGCAAGTTGTGGCATGTGGTAAAAGTATGGCCAAGAAATAGTTAGTCACAAGTGTGGCAATGTTAGCTCTAGTTATCTGAGTATGACATGTGGGACCTAAGGGTAGGAAAGTGTGGCATGACACAACTGTCGCATTGAAACAAACACACGTCTAAAAAACTGTGGCATGACTGAAGTGTGGCGTGGCAAAGTGAAGCAATCAACCAAACACCCCCTAATATCCCCAATACTATAGAAATACCATTGTTGGGTATAGCCCATCGACATACTAAAAGTTAGAGGCGATAGGCTTTGCACTCGAAACTCGACCTGCTTGTTTTGACGAAAGGATGGGAGAAAAAAAGGTTATGAGCAATAGAGCAGGTACAAGTCTATCATCTTTGACTCTTGTATGCGTTTATAAAAAAGGGGTCATATAAGGATCATAGGTTAACTCAAGCCCAGCCCTTCTCTAAGGAAATATTTTTTATTGTCATAGTGGTCAACCCTCGAATAAGCAACTTTGCTAAAAATAAACATTAATTGAGGCAAATTCATATTCATTAGTAAAGAGCTACTTAGTTGCCTAGGAACGATGGTGACGCTAGCTCAGCCACTGCTAGTGCATCGCTATTCACTATATGGAACCTCCATTTCTTGCTGGTGAAAAGGAGAGAGTGAGAGAAGATTGGGAAAGAGAAGGATAAACGGGAAGAAGGTTGATAGTTGAGACTTGAGACCAGTACCATCTGAGGCTGTGTTCGTTCTCTCCATTTGGGGAGAGATTTTGAGCACACATGGAACGAGAAAGCTCATTATATATTACTCCCTCCGTATTTTAATGTATGACGCCGTTGACTTTTTGACTAACGTTTGACCACTCGTCTTATTCAGAATTTTTGTGCAAATATAAAAATACTTATGTCATGCTTAAAGAAAATTTGATGATAAATCAAGTCACAATAAAATAAATTACAATTACATAAATTTTTTGAATAAGACGAAAGGTCAAACGTTTATCAAAAAGTCAATGGCGTTAAAATACGGAGGAAGTATTAATTAAATATTAATTATTATAAACTTGAAAATGATTTTATTTAATTTTTGAAACAAATATATTTTATATAGAATAACTTTTTATTAGAAACATATTATTTAATAGTTTGAAAACATACTTATGAAAAACAAGAAAGTTGAAGTTTTGAGTTGAAGAAAAGAACTTGATCTTTAGTTATCACATAGCTGGTTTAGATTCTAACCATAAATACATCTATGTGGCCAAAATTGGGTGGACTTGGTTGGAGAGGAATGTTTAATCTGTTATATATTGAGAGACGAGGGACACGTGCATTACAAAATGCTCACCTGCATGTGGGCCTAGATCATATGGCATGTTACAAAATGGTAACATGGCAAAGGCAAACATTTCACTTCATCCATCATGGAGAGTGGACATACAGACACAGTGTGTAACTGTGTACTATATACATGTAGCATGAACTGTACCTACAGTTTGCTCGAGCTACTCTCCCTCCGTCCTTAAAAAAAAATAAACCCTAGTTTCCATACCCAACGTTTGACCGTCCGTCTTATTCCAAAAAATATGAAAAAAAATTAAAAAGACAAGTCACGTATAAAATATTAATCATATTTTATCATCTAACAACAATAAAAATACGAATTATAAAAAAATTTCATATAAGACGGACAGTCAAAGTTGGACACGAAAACCCATGGTTTGCCCTTTTTTTTTTGGACGGAGGGAGTAGCTAGCTAGCTAGATCCTTTTCATGTTTTGATATGATGCTACATACATGATACCTCATACATCCATCTAGCTATGTTAGCTCCTGTCTCACTTATTTTACATACCTAGTTACATATACTACGACCTAAAACTTTTTAGTCCCTATCACATAAGATGTTTGGACACTAATTATAAATATTAAACACAGACTATTAATAAGACTTATCCATAACCTTGGACTAATTCACGAGACGAATCTATTGAGCCTAATTAATCCATGATTAGCCTATGTGATGCTATGGTAAACATTCTCTAACTATGGATTAATTAGGCTTAAAAATTTATCTCGCGAATTAGCTTTCATTTATGTAATTAGTTTTGTAAGTAATCTATATTTAATACTTTAAATTAGTGTCTAAATATAGAGACTAAAGTTAAGTCTCTGGATCCAAAGACTACCTACGTACGTACCTAGCTGGCTAGCTAGGCCCAATGTGAGCTCCAGATTAAGCTGAGTCTTTAATTTGCTCGCAAGTAGGAGGGGAGATATATATATATCGATCGAAGGTATGAACAAATTGGGTGCAAGATCAACATATATGGGACAAAACTAGAAGCCGGAGGGTAGCATATAGCATGCATGTGCATGTAAAGGATAAAAGGGTGGTGCATGCTGTTGCGGCGGAGGGCGGCAAGGCCCCAACAAAATGCAGCACGGGGGCGCATGAACCGAGGCCGGCCGGTGGTGGACCATGCCTGCCTGCCCCTCCACTCCACTTGTTCATATGATCCCCACCGGCGGCTGCCCGCCCCGGCTCGGCCCCCTAGCTTTATGCATGCAGCATTCGCATCATTACCACCATCAACTTCATAGGTTACTACTGGCTTCTACTCGTACTTATAAATATATATGGGCTGTTATATATATATATATATATATATATATATGAAATTTCATGAAACTATAGATGCTTTGACGAAACTATATACTTCATCCGTCCCATAATATAAGGGATTTTGACTTTTTATTTGCACTGTTTGACCATTCGTCTTATTCAAAAAAAATTAGAATTATTATTTATTTTATTTGTGACTTACTTTATTATCTATCGTACTTTAAGCACAACTTTTCATTTTTTATATTTGCACAAATTTTTTGAATAAGACGAGTGGTCAAACAGTGCAAGCAAAAAGTCAAAATCCCTTATATTATGGGACGGATGGAGTATCAAAATATATCGAAAAAATCTAGATTTAAAGTATTGTATTAGAAAACTGCAGGTTCAATGTCACCCAAAAAAACTATAAGTTTAGCGCTAATTCAATCACAAAATTACAATCTTTATAGCTCCAACATAAGGGTAGTGCTAGGGATTTAAACTGTAAAAATATTTAGTTTTGTGATAACTTCGATATTAAATATAGTATGGTGATACTTGCCCTTAAATAGATGGTTTTGCGATAATTTTGGTTCTAAATCCGTAATTTTATAATACAACATCTTAAATCTGTAATTTTACGATAGTTTGTTGAAAATATATTTAGTTTTGTAAAATTTACTCATATGAAAATGTTAAGATTTGATGTGCTGAGAATGATTTACTAGATTTATCATTAAAAGGTTTTTATGTAGATTTTGTAAATGTATGATTAGAAAAGACAGTGATAAAGCACAAGCATTGAAGATTGTGTTAGTGGCCCAAATGATAAGAGCAGATCAACGAGGGAACAACATGCTCTATAGAGAGATTCATATCGAAGGAATACTTGAAGAAGTGACGAAGGAACAAAGAGAGAATATAGATTTGTCGCCGAATTATAGAGCACACGATGAGCTACAATATTTTGTGGCTTTTGGATAGGTAATAGATAAAGACTTAATTCTTCTATGGAGTCTGGACAAATGACTGCTCAAATTCGTATAGAAAAGTAAACTCTTTTTAGAACTAAGGTGGCACTATCAGATAATTATTGTACAAACGTAGCTAAATTAGCTGCAGGTGATATGAACTTTATTGATCCATAGCTAAAAGTTAACTTTTATTATTCTACATGCTCTAAATAAAAAAAAGAACAAATGATTATATTAGTAGGGTATGGAGCCTTGGTTTTGTCTGATCCACCTGGGAACAGGGTTAATTGATCCATGTGAAGGGTTTACATGGCAATCATTGGTTATAAGTACTAGTAGGGTTGAGTTAGATCTAGGTTAATGCTCCATCGTCATAAAATATTATAAACTATAGTAATCTAGTACTCCTTACATTCTAGAATATAGTGATTTTTAGGGTTGGATACGGTTATTAAGAAAGTTGGTAGGATTAAATGGGGGAGTGTTGTGATTGAAGGAGAAGTGAAGGTAAGTGGGAAAATTGAATGGTGAAGGGTTGTGATTGGTTGAGAAAAGAATGTTGGTGGATAAGTCGTTATATTTTGGGATAAATTATAAAGGCTAGAAGTTGTTATATTTTGGGACGAAGGAAATATTAGATTAGACAACCCTCTATTTAGATTGATAGTAATAGGCTCCGTCCAATTAAATATCGCTATATATATTTTGAAATGAAGAGAGTAGCATATTCAGTTCTGTTCTGGGATATATGGAGTATATTATTTTGACATTTTGTTTGCTACCCTGTTTCTACCATCTCCTTCTCCCAAAAATTTGCAAGGATATTTTAGAGTTTTGTATTGTGATTGAAAGTAGAATGAATTAAAAAAATAAGGGATAAATTATAGTTGTAATTAGTTGAGATGTAGAAGTAGTTAGAGGAGAATTAGATTAGAGACAATTGTGATTGGTTGAGATGAGAGAGCTAGTTAGGAAGTTGATATATTGATCTGAGGCAAATTTTAAGACGAAAGGAGTACTTACCAGGTTCACGTTTTCGATGTAAACTGACTGAAAGCAATGTACTCCGTCCATATTTGTTAAGGAAGTCGTTTAGGACAGCGATATGGTCTCCAAAACACAACTTTAACTTCTTGTTTCTATAAAAATATTTATTGAAAAGTGGTATATGTATACTTTTATGAAAGTATTTTTCAAGACAAATATATTCATATAAGTTTTACATTTTCAAACTCAACAACTTGAGAGTTATTCATGATTTATATTCCCAAGGTTTGACTTAAACATTATCCTAAACGACTTCCTTTGTAAGTATGGAGGGAGTAACTTCGAGGTTTCAACATAGAGTGAAAGTAGATTTTTAGTAAAACTTCAAATTGTTTTTGAGAATTCAAATATAGAATTGTGAATTTGACCAAAATTTAATTAAGATTCAGTGAAAACCATCGTGCCACCAGGGATACGTATGTCACGATCTGAAACTCAATTGAAAAGGTGAACCCTGGTACTTACCTGCTTGTGTGTATATCTCTCTTCGATGCAAGCTAGCGTGGGTAGGTGGCTGGTTAGTTGGGCTGAAGGAGATAAGTGATGGACTGTATTAACTGGGCTATAGCAGAGAGGGACAGCCCAGTGAAAAAGGAAAGGAAAGGAACAAGAAAAAATAAAAAGAAAAGAAGGATGGGCTTGTACGGTTTATTGGCCACTACAGCATACTCCTTCCGTCCAAAAAAAAATTAAAACTAGAACTAGACGTAATAGAGATATGTACAGATACAATGTACTAGAATATATCATATATATCCAGTATTAGGTTGGTTTTTTATGGGACGGAGAGAATAATTTGTAAATATTATTTTATATTTATATTCTTAATCATTTAAAACACAAATACTCAAAAATAAACTGTGATTGAAAGAACTTTGAAATTAAATTTTAATTGTGGCTTATAAGCTGGGAAAAATATGTTGTGAAAACCATATATGTAGTGGAAACGTGGTAACTACCGTTGGATTGAAAAATGAACGTCCGAAATTCGTGCACGTCATCATGAGTATTCATGAGTAAATCTGTGAGTAAAATTTATACTCGTGATGACGTGGACGAATCTCGGACGTCCATTTTTCGCTCCAACTATAGTTTCCAGGTTTGCTCTATTTGTGGTTTCCACCACATATTTTCCCTATAAGTTGAAGGGTATGGAGTACAGATCTTTAAGCCCAACCACCAGTCAGCACTCTGAATCTTCTAAAGAAAGGTTACGATTTTGAATTTAGGTGACCATGTCTGACGTGTATATATTTGGATTCAAATTTGGTTGCCAAGCCTTATTTAGTTTTAAATTTTGAGAGGGGTACATGGAAGTTGATCACATCTACTCGGTATGTTTGAGTTTTAGAAGTCCGATTTCAAACTGTTCACTTCATGTTTATACTTTCCTTAGCACGCAGATCATATGCACAAATTCGTCTCCCAAGCAATTTCATAACACGACTTATTTTTATCCGTTTATAAATATCTTACTCCTACAATACAAATCGGCAAAATAGCCATTTTCGTCCCTAAACTATCGCCCGAGGCTCAGTTTGGTCCCTGAACTATCAAATTGTCCAATTTCGTCCTTCAACAATTGATTTCGAACTCAATCTCGTCCGTTCCCCTTGATAGCACGCCACGTGGCTAGCTAGACATGCGAAATGTCCGTCCTGCCCCTCGCTCAATTCTTTACATGTTGGATGGCTGACGGCGTCGTCCTCGTCTTCTGTGTTGGTGCGGCTTCTGTTCGTCGTCGTCGCCGCCGGGGAGGAAGACCCACTAGCCGCCGGTCCCCAGTTCTCTTTGCCTCATCTGCTTCATCCATTCCATCTCGTCCATCTCCCCCATCTACTCGCTCCTCGTTTCCTCCCCGATCTGGTCGCTCCATTGTGGAGGCGGCATCCGTTGTGCCTGTATCCCCATGGAGCATGGGTCCAGGGAGGGGAGAGTGAGAAGGTCGATGCCAAGAATGGGAGTAGCGCCGAATCCCGGAGCATCGAGTTCTGGCGCTCATGGAGCTGCGCGCGCGGTGGAGGTGAGTACAGAGCTGTTGGCGCTGGGGCTAGGGTTGATTTGAATTGGAGATTGATTTGTTTTTTGATAAAAATTCGTCGATTTGGTGCAGCTTGAAACATTGCTTGAAGAACATTCAGAGGGGATGCTGGTGAGGACAGGGCTTACATGTCGGCATGGATTCTTCCCAATTTTGTGTTGTTGTTGGTCTGGTCCAGACACTGGAAGAAGGTTCCTGGCATGCTCCCAAGTTGAGCAGCCCTGTGATTTCAAGTATTGGATCGATGAACAATTTGAAGGTAGAGCGAAAAGGGTGATTCAGGACCTAGTTTCCATGAGGCACAGCATGTCGGAGCTGTACGAACATTCATCTAGACAATGGGATGATATGTATGCTGATCGACAGAGAGTAAAACAACAAATTCATGAACTAAAATGTACTATTAGAGAACAAAGAGAGTGCATTGTAATCTTAATTTGTTTTAGCATTGTAATTGCTTGTGGTATATGGCTCATTGTGTAACCACTATTTGAGGCAATGTGGAATGAATTGAAAAACAATTTTAACATGTCTTATGCTCTTGTCCAGAAACAAATTTAACATGTCTTATGCTCATGGTTTTGACATAACAAATGCAAGCGTTCATGACATCATGACTAACTGATACAAAAGCATTATTGCTTTGGGACTATATTTGGCAAGCTACATCATCTTGTTCTTGGAATTCAGCAGCCCATTTTTCTGTGATGAGCTGCTTTGGGCAGATACTGATCCACGACCAAGTGAAGTTGAATGGATTTTTGCAAAGGCATGCCCACCTTTTACATTGATTGTTGCCTTTGCAAATGAGCTAGCAGTCCCAGCATTGGTTTCAATGACAACAGAAGCACTCCCTCCAGCAGATGCCTTCGCCGATGCTTGAGCACTTGACTTCGCAGATGCTTGAGCACTCTTTCCAAAAGATACCAGTCTTCTCTTATGGCCAGACTGTAAACAACAAAGCCAATTTAGGCAAATATACAAATTACTTAGGCTATAGCATGGACATGTCGTAATTATTACTAACCTGTATAAATGATGAACCCTCAGGCATCTTACTCTTACTTGATGATGTCGCTATGGATTTTCCTTTAGTTTGCTTCGACTGTGCAGGTTCAATTTGCAATGGGCTTGAGTGACTTGCATTGGTGGCGGGAGGATTATATGACTCAGCGTGTTCTTGCTGCTGTACAGTACATACCAAGTTAGTAAAATGAGTAAGGAATGAATATAGTGCAACAAGGGGAAAAATTAAATTCAGTAAACACCATTTTCACACAGCATGTCCTCGAGTTGTGACCATAATTTCCACAGCGACGACATCTAATTTTAGTACCAACTTTTGATGACTTGGTTCCAGATTTCACTGGCTCTGAAGGGTCTTTTCTCCTATTTTTCTTTGGTCGGCCTGGCATCTTTTTTACTCTAGGAGGCAATGGTTTGGGATTCGGAGACACAGGCCAAGCCGACTCATGTTCCACTGGCTGTAGTACATGTTGGTATGTCTTCTTATATCTCTCAAGTGAGAAGCACTCATGTATGCAATTGTTAGGCTCTTGTGCCATTTTGAATAGGGCAGCACAAGCATGTTGGCATGGAATCCCAGAGACTTGCCAGTACCTACAGGAGCATGTCTTGCTTGTCAGGTCTACTGTGAACCTCCATTTTTTGTCTCTCACTTCAAATCCAGCATCACCATTCTACAAGACATGACAAAACTGTGTCCTATGCCTAATCTTGTTGAATTTCCTGATAATGTTAGGACACACTGTCATAGTCCACCTCTCACTGTTACTCCTATTTTCTTGGATTCTTCTAGTCACCTGGATCCTAATGTCCTCCATCATAGTTGTCGGTGACATGGGACCGGGAGTATCATGACTAGAGGCTTGAGGCAGACACAATCGCCCACGTGGCCTGGCACCGTCAGGGGGCGTCGGGCCCGAGGGTGATGTGTTCGCCCTCCTCTTTACCGGGAGTATCATGACTTAGAGACTTGAGGCAGACACGATCACCCACGTGGCCTAACTCCCTCGGGGGAGGGGGGGTCGGGCCCGAGGGTGATACGGCCGCCCTTCTCTTTGTCTCCCCAAGGGGTCGGGCCGCTCCCGTCTCGGCCCCGAGGGCCGAAGCGCCCCGACCCCTTGTGGGTTTTGCGCCACGTATATGGGGTAGGTGAGCATGGCGGGGCTCACCTAACCACATTTATTGCAGTTTTGACGAGCGCGTCACGCCGCATGTATCGCAGTACAGCACGCTCGTTTATCCGGTCTGTGACCAGTCACAGACCGGTCAGATCATGGGTTAGGTGGCGACAGGCGGTCTGACGCACGCCTCGCCCCATCCCGTCAGGACGAGAGCCTCCAAGCACTCGTCCCTAGCTGGAGCCGGCGTGTTAGCTCCTGGAGATGGCACGTTGGTTCCGGTCAGATATATGCCAGGCTTCATCCTAACCATTACAGGCAAGATATTGTATGAAGAAGGACGAACATGCAGATTGTTAAACTGACACGTGGTGGACAAGAATGACCGATTTGTGACCGGTCTGACAATGGTCAAGTCATCAGCAGACAGCCATCTTCCCACGTCGCGCCTGCCTCCGGCGGAAGTGGAGGTAGGTATGGGCCGTCCCATCAGAAGGTCATTCGGATGGCGACGATGCAAATCTCCGTCTGTTAATGAAGAGAAGTCAAATTGGAAGAAAGAGAGGGGGAGATGGTGCATGTGGTATCCCCTTAAGATATAAAAGGAGGACCTTGCCCACTTAGAGAGGGGATTTTGGATTTTTCCAGATTGGGAACCCAGAACGAGGGAGAGGCTGGCTCATACTTTGTAGTTCCTTCATACACGAATCCACCAAAACACAGGAGTAGGGTATTACGCTTCTCAGCGGCCCGAACCTGTATACATCGCCGACGTCTTGTGTGCTTCCTGTCTCGCGAACCTTCCACAGATTGGGAGCTTAGAGTCTCACCCAGGGTCCCCGGCCGAACCGGCAAAGGGGGGCCAGTGCGGTCTCCCGGTGAGGAGCCCCACGCTCCGTCATCTGGCGCGCCAGGTAGGGGACTCTGCGAGTGATCTTCTGAGCTCTTGCACTCTTTCGTGTGCGCCAAGCTTTTCCTGTTCAGCCTCATGGCTGAGCAAGCAAAGGCGCACGACCTCTCTCCGAGTGTGAGTGGCGACGACGGGGAGCCGAACCCACGCCGTCGAGCTCGTACTCCACCGCCCCCTCCACGCCAAAGTCCTAAGCGGGGGGAGGCGCTCGAGAGGGCCGAAGGATCCGCGACTTCGACATCCACTGGAGGTGAAAAAGGGCGGCGAGATGGGGAGCGTCGCCTCCTCGTCTATGGTGACGGCAGCACGCCCCAGGGCGCGCTCCAAGCTGCGGGCGCGCTCCTACGTCACCCGCCCGTCGCCCATGACCCGGAGTCTCCAGCCCAACGTTGGCTGGACGATGTGGCCAAATTGGTCATGACTGCACGGCAGTGTCTAGATGCTGGTGGGCGGTCCTCCGCCACCAAGGCCTCTGGTGCTGCTACCACCGGCTCCGCGTCGTCAAGACGAAGGGCGCGGCGAGCGGCAGCCGCTGTTCGCCATTCGGCCACCACTCCTTCGTCGACTCCTTCGACCCGGGAAGATCTGCGTGGGGGGCCGGACGCCCGCACCAGCATCGAGCGGCGGCGTAATGACCGACGTGCTACCCACGCAACGGAGGGCGCTTCCTCGTCCAGAGTGTCACCTCAACACGGACACGGGAATCAGCCCTCCGTGCCCCCGGTTGGTGGTGTCGGCTGTAGAGCCTTTGTGGCGAGTCTTCGGAATGTCCGTTGGCCCCCAAGGTTCCGGCCCACCATCGCCGAAAAATATGATGGCAGCGTCAACCCCGCCGAGTTTCTCCAGGTCTACACGACCGGGATTGAGGCCGCCAGGGGTGACGACAGGGTCATGGCGAATTTCTTTCCCATGGCCCTGAAGGGGCAGGCGCGGGGTTGGCTAATGAACTTGCCACCCGCGTCAGTCCACTCCTGGGAGGATTTGTGCCAACAGTTCACCATGAACTTTCAGGGCACATATCCGCGCCCAGGTGAAGAAGCGGACTTACACGCAGTACAGCGAAGGGATGATGAGTCACTTCGCTCGTACATTCAGCGGTTCTGTCAAGTCCGCAACACCATACCATGCATCCCTGCACATGCGGTAATCTACGCGTTCAGGGGGGGCGTGCGGCACAACCGCATGCTCGAAAAGATCGCCTCCAAGGAGCCCCAGACTACCGCGGAGCTTTTTCAGCTCGCGGACCGAGTGGCTCGCAAGGAGGAGGCCTGGACTTGGAACCCCTCCGGTTCCGGTGTGGCAGCTTCGGCCGCCCCCGGATCCGCCGCTCAGACAGGGCGGCGTGACAGGAGGAGGAAGAAGAGGTCAGTCCATTCCGACGACGAGGGTCATGTCCTCGCCGTCGAGGGCGCTTCGCGAGCCACCCAAAAGGGGAGGCCTGCGAGCGACAAAAAGAAAAAGGCCGGCGCTCCCAGCAGGGAGCGCCCAGCCGGCAAGTGGTGCACCGTCCACAACACCTCCCTCCACGACCTCATGGACTGCCGTGCGGTCAAAAGTTTGGCTGAGCGGACGAGGAAGTGGGAGGAGGAGAGGAGGCAGGAGCGCCGAGAGGGCAAGTCCCCGGCGGTTCCTTCCGGTAATCGGCGAAGTGAGGCCAAGCAGAAGGCCCCCGCCGAGGACATCGATGATGGCGATGATGACCTAGGTTTCCAAGAGCCTGGGGCCACCATTGCCACCGTCGATGGGGGAGCGTGTGCTCACGTTTCTCGCCGGAGCCTCAAGGCCATGAAGCGAGAGCTTCTGGCCGCGGCCCCTACTCATGAGGCGACGCGTCGGGCGCGATGGTCGGGGGTTGCTCTCACCTTCGACCAGACCGACCACCCACCGTGCGTTGCCCGGGGAGGGCAGATTGCGATGGTGGTTTCTCCCACCATCTGCAACGTAAAGTTGGGGCGTGTCCTCATTGATGGGGGAGCGGCCCTCAACATCCTTTCCCCTGCGGCCTTTGACGCCAGCAAGGCCCCGGGGATGGTGCTCCGGCCGTCCCAGCCGATTATCGGTGTGACGCCGGGGCACACGTGGCCGTTAGGCCACATCGACCTACCGGTCACCTTCGGTGGATCCGCCAACTTCCGCACGGAGCGGGTGAACTTCGATGTGGCGAACCTCAGTCTGCCCTACAACGCGGTCCTGGGGAGGCCCGCGTTGGTGAAGTTCATGGCGGCGGTCCACTACGCCTACCTACAGATGAAGATGCCGGGCCCCGGTGGCCCCATCTCTGTCCATGGCGACCTCAAAGTCACGCTCGCTTGTCTGGAGCAACGCGCGGACCGCCTCGCCGCTGCGTCCAAGCCCGAGGGTGGCGACGAGAGGCTTGGCGCCTCCGCCCCCGCCACCCCGAGGCAGCGGATGATCACATGCGACGAGGTCCCGGTCAAGGAGGTTGCCCTGGGCGACGGCCCGTCCAAGACCACACGGATCGGTGGTCTTCTGGACGGCAAATAGGAAGACACGCTCGTCTCCTTCCCGCGGGCAAATGCTGACGTCTTCGCATGGAGACCGGCGGATATGCCCGGGGTCCCCAGGGAGGTGATTGAGCACCGTCTCGCCGTACGGCCGGGCGCAAGGCCGGTCCGGCAGAAAGTGCGGCGGCAGGCCCCGGAACGTCAAGCCTTTATCTGCGAGGAGGTGGCGCGACTTCTGGAGGCCGGATTCATCCGCGAGGTCATCCATCCGGAGTGGCTGGCGAACCCGGTGGTCGTTCCCAAGGCGAACGGCAAGCTTCGGATGTGCATCGACTACACCGACCTTAACAAGGCATGTCCTAAGGATCCTTACCCCCTGCCTCGCATAGATCAGATTGTCGACTCCACAGCGGGGTGCGACCTTTTGTGTTTTCTAGATGCATACTCTGGTTACCATCAGATTCGCATGGCTAGGGAGGATGAGGAAAAAACTGCGTTCATTACCCCCATAGGAACTTATTGTTATACAACAATGCCCTTCGGGTTAAAAAATGCAGGTCCTACTTTTCAACGTACTACTCGAATTTCTTTGGGTAGCCAAATAGGACGTAATGTTGAGGCTTATGTCGATGACTTGGTTGTAAAGACGCGCAACCAAGAAACCTTACTCTCGGATCTAGCGGAAACTTTTGAAAGCCTCCGCTCCGCCCGCATAAGACTGAACCCCGATAAGTGCGTGTTCGGTGTACCTGCGGGCAAGCTTCTCGGGTTCTTGGTCTCTGCCCGAGGCATCGAAGCCAACCCCGAGAAGATACGAGCTATAGAGCGAATGCGCCCCCCCAGCAAGCTTAGGGATGTGCAATGCGTCGCCGGTTGCATGGCCGCCCTAAGTCGGTTCATATCGAGGCTGGGGGAGAAGGCGCTACCCTTATTTAAGCTCCTCAAACGCTCCGGGCCGTTTACTTGGACGGAGGAAGCTGAGCGTGCCCTCACTCAGTTGAAGGCGTATCTCAGCTCTCCCCGGTTCTGGTCGCCCCGGAGCCAAATGAACCCTTACTACTCTACTTAGCGGCGACCCCGCAAGTGGTTAGTGCGGCGTTGGTCGTGGAGCGCGATGAGGACAAACCTCATTCCGCGCACCCCCACCTTGTGCAGACTTGGCCCGGGAGAGAGCAGGGAGGAGAGGCCCCCGAGCCGAACGGTGGCCCAAGGCCCCCGACGACCGGAGTTGGCCCTCTGCCCGCTTGTCAGACGGTGCTAGGAGCCCCCGACCCCCAGGAAGGCCCTGAGG